TCTCCATATATATGTGTGTGCGCGTATATGTGTGTGTGTGTGTGGGGTGTGTGTGTGTGTGTGTGTGTGTGTGTGTGTGTGTGTGTGTCCCCATATATATGTGGTTGCACTTATCTGTACTTGCATGTGGATGTTAACTTTGGTTATCTACTATTGTTATCCATCCTAATTTTTAAAGGTTCATTTATTTATTCATTTTATTGTATTATGCATGTGTGTATTTGTGTGTGTGTGTGTGTGTGTGTGTGTGTGTGTGTGTGTGTGTGTGTGTCTGTGTCTGTGTCTGTGCCTGTGTGTGTTTGTACATGCATGTGTAGACCATGTTATGTTCTGGTTCCCATGGAGGCCTGAAGAGAATGTTAGATCCCGTGGAACTGAAGTTACAGGTGGTTTTAAACTTCTTCAAAAGGGTGCTAATAACCAAACCAAGCTCCAGCCTTCTGAAAGAGCCTTATGGCTCTTGACCACTGAGCCATCTCTCCAGCCCTTCCACCTTACTTTTTGAGACAGAGTTTCTCAGTGAATCTGGAGCTTGGCATCCATGTACTCTGTCTGCACAGTGTTCCCAGGGAGCCTCCCAGCCCTGGGTTATAGGCTTGCAACACCAAGCTGGGCTCTTACTCAGATTCTTATGTTTGTTCAACAAGTGTTGAACCATGGAGCCATCTCCCCAGCCCCTCCGTATATCTTCATACATTAAACGCTTTAACCTAGAAAACTAAGAATCATTTCATTTAAGAAATCTACTGCACAGAGAGGACTAAGAGAGCTGACCAAACAAGGCTCCCTGAGACACAGACAGTGAGCACACTGAGGACCCCTGAAACACAAACACTGTCTACATGGATTGGATCGAGAGACAAAGTATCGGGACCTGAAACTATCAATTATGATATTTTGGGGTGCAAACCTCATCTGGATCCCAGGAACCTTAATCTCCCATTGTCTTTCACATGCCAGCTGGTTGCCTCTGGATGCCTGCCTTCGTGGGGAATGGTTCATAGTTTGTTTACCAATGGGCCTAGGCCCCTGGATGGACGCACACCCATCATGGGGCTGGTGGAACGTGCCTAGAAACTAGTAAGCAACTAGCAAGATGTGTTCTTGTAGAATGTCAGAGGGCTTGTATACGTGCCTAGGGACTGGTGAGAGGCTGGTGAGGATGTGTAATTCTAAGACTGTCTCTGGGATTAAAGGAAATATTTGATATCAGCTTTATACATGTCTTCCTTTATAGATGTCTTCCTCTATCACGCCCACTGTTGGAAAGCTATTTAAGAGGATGCTTGACTAAACCGTGGACTCCAGTCTCCAGTATGAAATGAGAACCCTCCGGAGATGACAAGATGTCTCTGTCTCCTCCTTAACACCACTGGGTAGCTAGGCTCTCCCGATCCACACTCCCCAACTCAGGGATGGGCCCAGGGCTGTTTGTCTGGTTCTGATTGCAACCCCAAAGACATCAGTCTGGAATAGATGGCCTCTATAGCGTGGGCCTGATACAGACCAGACCCCTGCAGCAAAGACACTGCCTGCACTGACTGGAGGAAGAGATGGGTAGACACCAGTGTAAGAATGCATTCAACAACCTAAAGATCAATATGGTACCACCAGAACCTAGTGGTCCTGCAACAGGAAGACCTGAACATCCCAACACAGAAGGAGAAGAAAAAGACCTTAAAAATAACTTTATGAAGATGATAGAGGCTCTTAAAGAAGAAATGAAAAATTCCCTTAAAGAAATGGAGGAAATGACACACAAAAATTTGAAGAAATCAATAAATCCCATAAAGAAAGCCAAGAAAAACAATTAGACATGTCCAAGACTTGAACATTAAAATAGAGGAAATAAAGAAAACAAAAAAGGAGGGAATTCTGGAAATAGGAAATCTGGATAAACAAACAGAAACTACAGATGCAAACATAACCAACAGAATGCAACAGACAGAAGACAGAATCTCAAGCGTTGAAGATACAATAAAGGAAATAGATTTATCAGTCAATGAAAAACGTTAAAGCCAACAAAGTCATAACACAAAATGTCCAGAAAATCTGGGACACCATGAAGACACTAAACCTAAGGATTACAGGGATAGAAGAGGAAGAATACCAGCTCAAATGTACAGAAAATATATTCAGCAAAATCATAAAAATAACTTTCCCAACCGAGAGAAGGATATGCCTAAGAAGAGAGAAGAAACTTACAGAACACCAAATGGAATGGACCAAAAGAAAAGTCCTCTCACCACATAACAATCAAAATACAAAATATGCAGGATAAAGACAGAATATTAAAAGCTGCAAAATAAAAAGGTTAAATAACCTATAAAGGCAGACGCATCAGAATAACACCTGCCTTCTCAAAGAACACTGGACAGATGTTATGCAGACTCTAAGAGTCCATGGATGCCAGCCCATACTACAAAACTTTCAATCACCATAGATGGAGAAAACAAGATATTCCATGATGAAACCAGATTTAAACAATACCGATCCACAAATCCAGCCCTACAGAAAGCAATGGAAAGAAAATTCCAACCCGAGGAGGTTAGAGGTAGACAGGAAAGCGCAGGCAACAGATAAACCCATACTAGCAAATCCTAAAAAAGGGAAACACACACCACCACCAAAAATTAACAGGAATCAACAATCACTGGTCATTGATATCCCTTAATATCAATGGACTCAAGTCGCCTACAAAAACACACAGGCTAACAGAATGGATATGAAAACAGAATCCATCCTTCTGCATTTGAGAAACTCACTTCAACTTCAAAGACAGATATTGCCTCAAGAGTAAAGGGTTGGGAAAAGACGTTCCAATCAAATGGACCTAACAAGCAAGCTAGTGTAGCTGTCCTAATATCTAAAAAATAAAAATAAAAAACGGAATTCAAACTAAAGGTAATAAAAAGAGATGATGAATGACATTTCATATTCATCAAAGGAAAAAATCCATCAGGATGCAGTCTCAATCCTGAACGCATATTCCCCAAATACAAGGGCACCCACATTCGTAAAAGAAACACTACTAAAACTTAAATTGAACACCAAACCTCTCACACTAATAGTGGGAGACTTCAACACCCCATTCTCACCACTGAACTACCAGACAGAAAATTAACAGAGAAATAAGGTGTCTAAGAGACATTATGCCTTAAATGGGCTTAAAAGACATCTATAGAACATTCCACCCAAACACAAAAGAATATACCTTCTTCTCAGTACCCCATGGAACCTTCTCTAAAATTGACCACATCCTCAGTTACAAAACAAATCTCCACAGATTAAATTTTTAAAAAATGGAATAGCCCCTGTATATTATAGGATCACTATGGCTTAAAGTTAAAATTCAACAAAAATACAAATTCTAGAAAGCCTACAAACTCATTAAAACTGAATAATGCCCAACTGAATCACCCCTGTGTTGAGGAAGAATAAAGAAACAAGTTAAAAAGTTTCCTAGAATTCAATGAAAATGAATGTACAATGTACACAAACTTATGGGACACTATGTAAGCAGTGCTAAGAAGAAAGTTCATAGCACTAAATGCCTACATAAAGAAGTTGGAACTATCCCATACTAATGAATTAACAGAATTCCTGAAAGCAAACTCACCCAGAGAAGGAGTAGATGATAGGAAATAATCAAATTGAGGGCTGAAATAAATAAAGTAGAAACAAAGAGAACAATAGAAAGAATCAATGAAACAGAGCT